TATCTATCTATCTCTAATTATCTATATCTCTGTCCATCATCTGTGTGTGCGCGGCGCGTATATATATATATATATATATATATATATATATAGCACATATACATATATATATATACTATGTATATATATATATGTGTGTGTGTGTGTGTGTGTGTGTGTGTGTGTGTGTGTGTGTGTGTGTGTGTGGTGTGTGTGTGTGTGTGTGTGTGTGTGTGTGTGGCGCATGTATACACACACACAGCATATACACACACATACATATCATGCATGTATACAACATATACATATACATATATATATATATATATATATATATATACATCCACCACACATACACACACACAACACATCACATTTTGTGTGTGTGTGTGTATGTATGAATGTGTATGTTTGTGTGTAAGCAAATTATAGTTCTACGTACACTCCAGTATAGTACATTGTGAGAAGGAAATTATAAACAGACATACAGATATTGAATAGAGATTGGGGAAGAAGACAAAAACGGCAGGCATATAGACTGATATAAATAAGGGAGAAAGAGAGAGAGAGAGAGGGGGGGGGGGAAGAGAAAGGGAAAGAGGAGAAAAAAGAGAAAGATTTAGCGGGCGAGCGAGGAGATATATAGATGCCAGGGATAGGAATAGATAAAAGAAATATAAATAGAGAATGGAAACGATTGATTAAAAATGGGCAGACAGAAGAGAGAGAGAGAGAGACGAGAGAGAAGAGAGAGAGAGAGAGAGAGAGAGAGAGAGAGAGAGAGAGAGAGAAGAGAGAGAGAGAGAGAGAGAGAGAGAGAGAGGAGAGAGAGAGAGAGAGAGAGAGAGAGAGAGAGAGATGATAGAGATAGATAGATAAAGCAAAATTACCCTCTCTCCCGTGCTTTCCGGAATTCCAACAAAAAGATTCTAACCGAAGTATAAAACAAGGCGCCATTTTACGATATTTCCAGTTAAGGTTTCTCATAAAAAAAAATATTTCCACAGGAGATTTTGATGACGGAAAATCCCCGAGAAGAGAATTCGAATCTTTAAGGGATTTCGGGTGAGTTTCTAATTCTGTTTAAAGGGGATGGGATCCAATGAGGAGGATTATAGGTAAAGGAAGTCCTATAAATGGGATTACAAAAGGATTATAAAGAGCAGGAACTCATTTTAGGGGTTTTCTGATCAATTAATGTCAAAGAATGATTTCAGTTCAGGGGTCGTCATCTTGGCCTTTTTCATTGGGGGGGGGGGGGGGCAGCAGCTGTCAGTATATTAATTAGGTAATCTCGGAGCATTTTTAAAAAATACGATCAGAGTTTTAAAAGTTAAATTAGGCAAAAAAAAAAAAAAAAAAAAAAATCGTGGGATTGTGGCCCTTGGTGAGTGAACCAGCCTTGGGGGGGGGGGGGAATTTTGGGGAATGAGAGGGGGGGGGGCAATTGACCTCCTGCAAATGGCCTTCCTGTTGCAAGGCTGAAAATCAACGTCAGAAAGGAAACAGCAGAGAGAGAGAGAGGAGAGAGAGCAGAAGAGAGAGAGAGAGAGAGAGAGAGAGAGAGAGAGAGAGAGAGAGAGAGAGAAGAGAGAGAGAGAGAGAGAGAGAGAGAGAGAGAGAGAGATGAAGGCGAAAATACAAAGTAAGAATCAATTGTTTTCTGGTAAACAGTATTCAGTCCGGTAGAATATTCGGCGGACGGAAGTGAGATGCTCTCTCTCTCTTTCTTTCTCTCTCTCTCTCTCTCTCTCTCTCCTCTCTCTCTCTCATCTCTCTCTTCCTTATATATATATATTATATATATATATATATATATGTGTGTGTGTGTGTGTGTGTGTGACGTTGGTGAATGAACTGAAGGCAGATGTGACAGGTTGTTTATGACTGATGACAGGTTCACAGGATCATGATGACTTATGACAGGTTATAACTGATGACAGGTTGCCAGGATGATGGCTGACAGGTTGACAGATGGTGATGATTGGGGTAGCATCTTGACAGGTTGCTGAAGACTGATGTTAGGTTAACAGATTGGTGGTGACTGGTGGAAAAGTTGACAGGTTGGTGATGACTGATGCAGGTTCACCCTAATAAAATGAAGACCCGTGATGACTGATGAAGCAACATGCACGTGTTGCGATAGAAGTAATTTGTATTACAATTATTTTATCCAGACAAGTTGGAGTTAGTTTTGTCATCAATCTCCCAAGTAAATCATCATCTCATAAAAATATATATAGAGACATAAAGAGAGAGAGAGAGAGAGAGAGAGAGAGAGAGAGAGAGACAGAGAGAGAGAGAGGAGAGAGAGAGAGAGAGAGAGAGAGAGAGAGAGAGAGAGAGAGAGAGAGAGAGAGAGAGAGAGAGAGAGAGAGAGAGAGAGGGAGAGAGGGAGCGAAAGAGAGAAAGAGACAAGTGAGATAAAAAAGAAGAAAATAAAAAAAAACGAAAAAAGAAAAAAAATCAAGAACTTGAATCCGGCTGAATCCCGGATTACCCTAAAGAAAACGGAGCGAGCTGTTTGTTTACCCTTCGATCAGCTGAGCGGCGGCGGCCGGACTACCTCGACGGGAAGGAACAATTTCTCGCATGGAACGCTAATTTCAGGCTTTAATCTGGGGGGATCCCGATCTCGGAGAAGCTATGCCAAGTATGTAGGAGTCGATTGTTGTGGTGGTGTGATTGGGCGTGGGGATTGGGGCGAGGTAAAGGGGAGGGCTTGATCGGAGGAGGAGGTGCCTCAATATTTTTTTTTGTTATTTGGGGGAGTCGCGTTGGCGAGCGAGGAGATGAATGTGTCGCTTATTTCCGCCCCTTTTTGCCGCTTCTCTTTCCTGCTTTTTGGTGTTTTCCGACGGGGCTCGGGTTAAATATGATCGTAATGGCCACCTAATCAGGTATTTTCTCAATTCTATCGGTTTCCAGTCGTGAAAACCGAGTGTTTGTGTGACGGAAGAATGAGTCACAACTTGAAATTAAAGTCAAGTGGATGTTTGAAATACACAGGGGATTTCGAGTGTTTCCTTGGCTATAGTGGGACTCAAGGTTGCCCAGTGTGCTTTGATTTTACTGAACTCCTTTTGATATTGGTGAGAAAAAGCTTTTTTGTGTGTGGTTGGGGTACATGCTGATAATATAAGGGATGAAACTTTCATGCATCTACATAAGCTCTGGATCTATATGAGCTGAAGAATATTCAGGAATGAGTGTATTTATATTTTGCCCTTTTTCATTTAAGAATTCCATAGACAAGTACCGGAAGTGTGTAATAGAAAGGAACCAAGTGTACCCTTAAGCCTAATCCCAGTCTGAAGATTGCCTGGTAAGTATTTTAGGAGTGATGTGACTGTGTATAGAACTGAAGAAGATTCATGACTTGCACAGGAATTAGATCATTGTTTCATACCTAATTAGTCAGATATTTCAGATAGTTTATACTTATTAGAATTTATATTTAAATCTATACTATAACTGTAAATACTTGAAACATTTTATTATTTATGGCTTTACATTATGATGCTATTTATATTACAGTAATTGCATGGAGATAACAACTCATTATAAGACAAGCTTTTTGGTCATAAATTTACCTGATTTAATGCCTAGTTAGAGTATTATATATACTGTTGTTGTCTTATTGCTTGGTGACACAGAGCTGTAATTTAGTATTTTTATCATAGTTCTAAATTTGGTATATACTTGTTGACATGCCATTATTATAAGTAATTTGATTCTCATCCAGGTATGTACGGTCCCAGCCGATCAAATTATGGAGGGTATGGCGGTTACTGGGGTGGATATGGCCGACCTCCACATCCACCTCCTCCGCCCCCTGTCCCATCTCACCAGCCACCACCACCATTCCATCCACCTCCTCCACCATTTCACTTTCGTCCAGTTAGGCCGCCTCCGCACACTCTACGTCCCCCTCCACCTCCGCCTCCAATAAGGCTTCCACGACCCCAGCAGCAGCAACAGCCTCCTTACCCACAGCCTCCCATACAATCGCAACAAACATGCCAGCAGCTCTACATGCCCCAGCAACAGGAGAGGAAGAGCCCTACCCTCAATTCAAGCCGTCCCCAGTCCGCTCAAGCTCCATCAAATCAGCAAAATTACAGATCGAGGCAGAGCAATGGCAGCACCTTACACAGAAGATCCAGTGACACTCCACCATACCAGGGCATGGATGAGGATGAAGTCATCCCCATTGGCTTCGGATCTCCATTGGTGCCAAGATCAAAGGAGAAGGAAATGGAACCACTAAGCCCAAAGCCGCTTGTACCAAATAATAAAAGGCCATGTAAGTATTCCTTCATAATCTCAGAAGATATCATGGTGCAAGTTGAGTGAAGTATCTTGGTGAAATACATATGTTTTGTGTGAATGATTATTTGTCCTTATTTTTTCAGTACCAGTTGAACTTGATCCAGACTTACCTGAGGAGTTAGTTTCAAAGTTCCATAACAATTCCTGCGAGTTATGTGATGTTAGGGTGAGTGTGCACCTTTACTCTTACTAGTTATTATATGATAAGAGAAGGTTCTGCAAAAGATATGACAGAAAATACATAAATTTTTTTCAGATATTGTTTTAAAGTTCATTTTTGCAAAGTGTGATTAAAACCATGTGTCCAGTACCATTGCAAGAAAGTCAAAACCTTTTCTTGATTCTCTGAGATGTTCCAAACCCTTTATCTTTCTTTGCAGCTGAATTCCAGAGTTCAAGCGAAAAACCATTACGAAGGCAAGCAGCACAAGAAGAAAGTGAAAAATTATATAGACATGTTAGCAAAGGAAGGTCAGCCTCCAGCCAAAGTACCAAAGTTAGACTTGTCAACTCCAAAAAAGGTTTGTGATAAGCCTTAAGCTGGAAAGTGATTGGTTTGTGTGTGATTTTGAAAGACTGAGTTGAGTTGTGGCTGCTATTACTAATGGATTGGAGCTCTATGAGAGAGAGAGGTAGTGGGATGATTTCTTTTATTTTTTTTGTTATATTTGCATGTTGCATTGTTTTAC